GCGGCCATGCGCGCACCACCGACGACGCGTGGGCACTTCCTCGGCGGGCAGCTCGCCCCTGGTGCTGCCCCTCTGCCCACCAGGTGGGCGTGTCTCCAGACCCCACAGCCTGCGCCCTCCCCACTCACCACGGAGGCCTGTCCCTGGGACCCCCGGGGCCTCCCCAGCAGCCCCATCTTCAGTGCATGGGCGGAGCCACAGCCCTGCCACAAGGACAGGCCTCCTGCCTGCTGGCCAGCTGTACGCCTGCCCAGGCTGCCCCTTCCCCGCACCTCCCCTGCTCTGGAGGCCCCAGGGCCAGCCCCAGGCCCACACCCCAGGCCTCCTTCACGTGCCCGCAGGCCTCCCACCCTCAGTGGGCCCGGCAGCTCCGGCCCAGCCCTGCCAGCCTCCTTCAGGCAGGAGCTGCTGCCCGCCCGGGACGACCCTCCCCGGCAGCGCTGCCGCCCGGCGGACAGCACCCCGCAGGGACTCTGGGCAGCACTGCATGGGCCCATCGTCAGTGGCCAGTCAGGGCAGGGCAGCCCCTCCCCTCAGAGATGCCATGACGGCAGCCCAGCCCAGGCTCCAGTGCCTGCTGGGGCGTCTCACCCCCGGCCAGGCAGGGGTCCCCCGACCACAGTGCCGCCATGCAGACCCCAGAAGCAGGCTGGGCCGCGCCCACCCCGCCCCGGCCTTGCAGCGGCCCTGTCCCTGCCTGGGGTGGGGCATCGGGCCCGTCCCTGGCCCTGTGTCCCTGCCCCAGCCCGGGCCCTGCTCTGCCCCCCAAGGCGAGGACCGAGGACCAGGGGGGGCCCGGCTGCTGGCTACAGGAATGCAGGGGGCCCCTCCACGCGACCCGCTGCGAGCCCCGCCCCTGCGGGCACAGTCATCGGCGTTGGGGCTTCGGGAGGTGGCCCAGCGTGTCAGGAGAGGGGCGAGACCCCCCTCGGGCCCGGTCTGCTCCCACAGGCTCCCGGCCTCCGGCCCCAGCCCCGCCCCGGCAGACCCAGGCCCAGGGCTCCAGGCCCCTGCCGCCCACCCTGTGCAGTGCCCAGGAGGCCTGGGCTCCAGACACGCCCAGTGGGTGTGGGCCTGGCCGGCGGGGTCCTGGACCCGCCGCCCCGCGGCACCGACCCAGCCGGGCCTGGCGCCCCACTCACCGTCCGGAGGCATCGGGGGCGCTGGTGTGAAGTGGGTCCCAGGTTTGTCTGGAAAAGCAAGTCTCGCGTGAGCCGGCCGGAGCCGGCCCGACGGTCCTCCGCAGCGGCCGGCCCCTTCCAGCCCTCGGGGCTCACCTGTGCCTGCCCAGACCCCGTCCTCAGCCCCTTGCCAAGGTTCAGGCTTGGGAGGCCACAAGCCGAGATGCCAGCCCCAGCCTCCCTAGTGGCCAAGACAGGCGTCCAGGCAGAGACCCCCGACGCCACCACCACAGCCTGGGCAGTCAGAGGGGCCCTGGCGGGGCGGGGCTGGCCACGCCTCCCCAGAAGCCCCGCCCCTCCCGGTGGCCACTGCCCGGTCCCCACCTTCCCGAGAAAGTTGCGTCTGCAGTGCAGAGCGAACCCAGGACAGGCGTCCCGGGGCGCCCTGAGCTCAGGGGGTGCCTGGGGCCACCGGCCCCTCGCTGGCCCTGCGGCCCCGCCTCGGCTGTGAGGCACGTACAGCTGCCAAGGAAGAGGAGCACGGCGAGGCCCAGGGTGGACGTGGCCAGCAGGATCAGGCAGACGTTGCAGGGCACCGTGAAGTAGCGCACCAGCCCGGAGGCC